AGTGTGGAATCGTTCTGGGAACTCTCCTGTTGTTCTTCTGTTCATGGATGACCCACAAGTCGTGCATGTTCCTGGTCCACACAGCCAGCAACACCAAACGAAGGACCTACGCTGGACTGGGTGAGTTCAAGGAGCAATAAGTACAGATGAATGTGACTTTATCTTGTCTTTGTTATTGACTTTAATCGTAATTCAACTTACAGTTTGTAGCGCATTTGTCTCTTTTGTTGTACTCAGCAGCAAACGTCCGGCAGTATGTTCAGGGAAAGTCTTGTATTTTAGAGAGAATGAAACGCAGAGCTTAAGCAGTGGCAGTGACGCCCATTATGACAGAACAGACACATAGAATGACTTCATCTACACAAACCTAAACATCACTAACAGCAAGCCGACTCTGCCCACAGAGACAGTGAACGAGAATCTTTCATATTTTTTAAGTGGCTTGATTGTTGTCTACATGGTGAAGGGCCAACGTGTTATAACTCTTAGATAAGCACAGTCATGCTAGTAGTTCGATCGGACTGTTTTTGGGACACTGCCGTCTGTTTGTCTTCATCTTTTTCACATTGATGTTTCTCCGCAGCCTTCCATGCCTACGGGAAACCAGGAAAAACACTGGTGGAGACAAGGTGAGTGTATTTATTCCTAACACACCTTACAGTGTTTCATTGTCTCAGTACTTGCAAAGTTGAATCTAACCTAATTATGCAATATTTTAAATATATGGTGACTATATTTTCTGTAAATAAGTGCTGCAGATGTTAGACAACTGGAATATTTTGAAGGCTATTTGTTTATTTAGAAAACCCACTGTAGATCGAAAGCACACATAACAAACGTATGAGAAGTCAATGGAAACATAAAAAATGATTCATTTCAAAATATTAGGCCATAATAACAGTTGTGTCTTTACGTCTTCCTCTGTCTCTGCAGTATGATCGGTTTGATGTTGGGGACCTGCATTGCCTTCTATGTTGTCATCGCTGATTTGGGCTCAAATTTCTTCGCTCAGCTGTTGGGTTTACAGGTTTGAGAATCAATACTTGGTGCAATCATCTATCAGTCGGCACATTTTTTATCGTAATTATGATCAATGTATGCATTCTGTCTTCAATGTTCTTTCTTTCTTTTTTTTTTAAACCTGTTTTTAAATTTACTATCATGTAATTCCCCCCAAAAAACGATAGTAAAATAACCCTCTGAACACCAAGCACTTTCCTTTCTACTCACTGTGAGCTCATTTTTCACTGCAATATAAACTCCGACACCTCTATGGAAACAGCTCAACTGTGGCTAGATATAGAGAGAAGTAACCATGTCTTTTGTGCAGTTTAGCAAAGTTAGAATGTCACAAATCTTTTACAAAATTTGAAAAAAATTAGACTCAACATGCAAGGTGCAACATGCAAGGTGGAGCGGTGGTTAGCACTGTCGCCTCGCATCTAGAAGGTCCCCGGTGAGGACACCCAGGATCTTTCTGCGTGGAGTTTGCATGTTCTCCCCGTGCAATGTGGGTTCTCTCCAGGTTCTCCGGCTTCCTCCCACACAGTCCAAAAACAAGTTGAGGTTAATTGGTGATTCTAAATTATCCGTAGGTGTGAATGTGAGTGTGCTTGGTTGTCTGTCTCTAAGTGTAGCCCTGTGATAGACTGGTGACCTGTCCAGGGTGTCCCTGCCTTCACCCTAAGTCAGCTAGGGTATACTCCAGCCCCCTCACAACCCTAGTGAGGAATAAGCAGTGTATAGATAATGGATGGATGGATGGAATCAACATGGACAACATTTTCCAAGTGCCCACAGGGGTTATCAATACTGGAAAAACAGATGACTCTACATACTATACGACTACATCACAGTACATATTACTTCTACTGACACTACTGCTACTTTTAATTTGTTTCCTTACTTTTCTTTGCCTGCTCTGTATAAACACAGCCTGCAGTTCAGTCTACTTTAGCTGAAAACTCTGTCATTGTGTTTGTTTGTTTCTTTTTTTAAGACAACATGCCTTTTACACCTGTGGGCAGGTTTTGGGGTTTAGAGGGTTAATAGGATTGGCCTCAGTCTACAAACAACTGTAATAGTAGGAGAAAAAAATCATGTCTGATATCTAGTTTGTTATTACTCTGTTCTGTGAAGGTTACGGGCAGTTTCCGCGTGCTGCTGCTGATCGCTGTGTCGCTGTTCATCGTCCTCCCTCTGAGTCTGCAGAGGAACATGATGTCCTCCATCCAGTCCTTCTCAGCGATGGCCCTCATGTTCTACACCCTCTTCATGTTCACGGTGAGAGCGTCAGCACACAGACAGCGACACTCCAAGCATCTGAGCTGGCTGCAGCAGAAACGCCTTCGGTTACAAAGCCTGACGATCAAAACGTCCGAGGCAGAATGCTCACTGAGGGACATTTGTTGGCTGTACAGTAGCAGCTTAAAAGCAGTCAAGCTGTACAGATACATTATCAGCATGATTTAAAAAAAAAAGCGTTCGTAATTTTTCAGTAGTTTCATAAGCCCTTTTCAGACATGGGATGCATAAGTGCTGCTTCATCGGTCTGTTAAGGTGACGGCATTTTTAAAAATCAGACACTTTCGTTCCCCAGAGCTCCATTCAGACAGTGCACCATTTAGCATCAAGTGATAGTTAATTCACAAATCTAAAAAAACAGACAAAATCTAAACTAGCAACTTGTCAAACTGTCTGAATAACTAATAGCTTTTTTAGGATTTCAAAAAAATCTATCTGACAACAATAAATAATGGTACCATAAAACATCATTTAATTGTTGCTAGGCTACTTGTTACTTTACAGATCACAGAGGTCACATCTATATATGGAGGCATCCATGCATGCCATAATGCCAACATCCGTTTGTGCTGAAAAATCTTTTCAATTAAAAAAATTTGATATGACAGAAAAATATTTAGACTTTCGTGAGACTCCTACAAACAGCTGGAAGCAACAAACTAAACTTCAGCTCCTGCTAATGTTTTGTGAAATCCTAGAAGAGTTCTCATCAGTCTGGCCTATTACAGACTCTGTCCTTGTTGCTGAAAGATTTTTACAGACATTTTAATTTGTAATAGATGTGACGTTGTAGAACAAAGTGGATAAGGCAAAGCGCCACATAAATAAAAGTTGTTTTGTGATGTTGGAGAGGTGTGTGTGTGCGCTACAGGCAACTAAAGGCACAAGACTTCTGTGCATGTTTATGGACCATTATCGGTGCTAAATGTGGGAAAAGGCCCTCCCCAATGCTTCACGCAACTCGAACTACGTCATAATTTGCATGCCTGTCTATTAACGCGACAGCATGCCGTTCAGACTTGTGCTGCGTTGACAGCGATGTGTAAATATTACGAGGTCGGACCTAGTAAAAGCACCGCAGCGACTTTTAAGGCAAAGTGAAGCCGACACATTCAGAAAGGAGCTCATGTCTCAAAAGGGCTTTAGTCACACAGCATCCTGCACGTAAAGCATTTTGGATATTATGTTTATTTCTAAATGCAGTACTTACTGTTATTTTGCTCATGCATTTATGTTTTTTCCCTTGTTATGTGTTTTCCTGAACTTCACTCTTTACTCCAGCTTTCTTCCCTAAAGAAAACTCCACATGTACAGTAAAAGCTACAGACTTTGAACTTCAGATTTTTCAGAATATCGTTTGGTTATGTTGTTGTTTTCTGTGTTAATCCTCCCTTATTTGCTCCATTGTACAGAACTATGCCTTCCTTACCAACACAATATTGTCTTGCTCCTGTTTTTAAAGAGCAAATCCGCATTAAATCACTTCAGACAGAAAACAGTTGCTGCGCTGCTCTTTATAGGCTGAAACAAAGGCTCTCCCCTGGGAGCACACTTGTTGGAAGTGGCCACTAGAGACATTATAAGCACTTTAAGTACAAAGTAAATGGAGCTTAGATGGTCAGCTGCACTAAAGGCAATTGTCTTTTACATTTGCTCAATTGTTATATGAAATAAAACTCGTTGTTTGCAGGAGTTAAACATGCCAAATGCATTTCACGGGTTGCTTATGGAGAATTTCTAAATAAGGCACGTAGAATAAAGCGATTAGATTTGTTTCCTAACTGAACACAGATGAGCAGTTCAAGGAATGCTGAAAATCTGACAATTCTCTTTTTCTGTTCTTACACTTACTAGCTCTGATAAATTATGTAATTTGCATTTTTCTAGGATAATACGCCTTGCAAAACTGCTGGTGGTTGTTTCGTAGTAAAGAATCACAAAAGTTTTTTCTGTTTTTTTAAATTCTTCCTATGTTGATTTTAAAGCAACCTTGCAACCTAGTAACTCAGCGGAGAAGGGTACTTGTTGCATGTGATCAGTCCAGTCTAAATAGGCATCAGTCCTGTGTGGAGCTGATTTCAAGCTACTAAACATACAGTCGTCCTCAAATCTATTCATAACCTCCCATTAAAGAAGGAAAAAACAGCTGTCAGTGAAATAAGATGAAACTGACAAAAGTAATACTAAAAAAAAAAAAAATGAAAATCATGACATTGCTTTTGAATTGTGGTTCAACAGAAATATATATATTTTTAAAAACAAGCATGATGGGACCCGTAAACTAATGTTTTGTTGAACAACCCTTTGAGCCAATCAGACTTGTTCACCTGTTGACAGGTGTTTAGATGTTGGCCCACTGCTCATCAGCAAAGTGCTCTAATTTGTCTGGGACAGTTTTTTATTTTTTTTAATTATTCTTTTCAACCACAATTCAAAAGCAACATCTAATTTCACTAAATTATAATTTAGCAAATTTTTATTTATTACTACTTTTTGCAGTTTCTAGTTATTTAAGTGACGATTGCGAATTTTGCCTTTTCTTTAATGGAAGTGTATGAATACACTTGAGGACGACTGTATAATAAAGCACTTGTTGACCGTATTCTCACAATTACTCAGAAATTACCCACAGTGCTGCAGTGATATGACCACTACAGTAGCAACTGGTTACCAGCAGTAGAACACAGCTCCAACCCACTTCTGACAGGTTTTTATATTTGCGTAGAGGTGCACCATATTTCAAAAAACAGAGATTTGAGTCCAGCAGCTGTTTCCTGCCTCATGTGGTTTAGCTCATTCGCTCTTTAAGTATGCACCCACGGTTGGTGTGCGTGGCTGTTTTCTGACCTATAGTGCTGCTTCCACAGACTTCACAGTCCGCAGTCTCTCTGTGACTTTTAGCTCTGTAGCATGCCGATACCCTGGAGCACTGGTGTGGTGTGTGTCCGGCTTCAGACCCCGGCCCGGCCCAGACCCCTAACCCTCTAACAGTGATGTATCTCCTTCCCTTCCTCCTTTCATCCTACCCTTATTTGTTCCCTTCTTTTTTCCTTCCTCCTCATTGTGCTTCTTTACCCCTCTCCTCTTTTTCCGTCTTGTCCTCCTCACCCTCCTTTACTACCCCCCTCTCTCCTCCT